TGGGTGTACACATTCCGTGATGGAGGCATGTCTGTGTTGTACTTCAACGAAACCGGCGGAATATTGAACTTCGGAAACTCTTTGGGAGTCGATACTGTGTGTACGTCGCGACAAGTCATATTCGCATCATAAAGCAATAATTGATGCTGACGTACAGGCACATTTAATCCAATGTCAAGAACGCAGTACCGTATTGCTGTGTTGAATCCCAAGAGTGCCCGTACTTCATCCACAACATAGAACTTCTCAATCGTTACTGGCCTTTCTTTAGATATGAATAACTCAGCCGAAAAATTTGCAATAACGTTGATCTGCCCATTCATAGCATATGCTTTTAAGGGTTTATCAGTGGAGGATCGCAAAGTAAAAAGTTTAGATGAAGCATCTTTGTCAGCCAACATTTTGTCAAAGGATATTTTTGTTATGGTGTTAACTTGGGCACCGGAATCTATAAAAAATTTGACTTTCACTCCAGCAACTTTTCCTTCAATAAAAGCATTGTTCTCGTCCGGAATTATATGATTTCTCAATGGTTGAACCAGAGGATGTACACTATTGATACTCTGGAAGTTTGTTTGAGCGACTTGTGGTTTCTGCGGTTGCTGTAATATATTTAATATGAATCAGTCAATTTTGTTTCCATTACATTTTATTATGATCAGTATTATTTTAATTATCTTATAAATATTTTTTTTTCTTTTTTTTTTTTTGCCAATCTTAGAAATTAATGAAAAGAAAGTGTATAGAAAATTACTCAGGAACTTCAGCATGTTCACGTACCTTGACGTCAAACTCATGATCAGTCGGCGCAATTTCAATCGCCGCAATCTTCCTCTCAACTTCTGGTTCCTCTTGGTCCGCAAATCGCTTTAGCGCCCTGGCTTGATATTGTGGATTTCTCGGCTGATTGGATGAACAAACGCGCGCAATGTGGCCCAAACGTCCGCAAATTCTGCATTCCTTCTGCATAGCTGAACATTCAGACGAGCGATGATAAATGCTTCCACATCTCCAACAATTGGCAGTGTTTTGATAACGTGAGTTCCCTCTGAATCCTCTTCCTCCTCTTCCACCTCGATTACCTCGTTGAGCTCCTCTTCCTTGCCAGCTATGACCGAACATTGATGTATTTCTTTGATCTTCATGCCTGTTATGTGACGTCACAGATGCTAGCGACAACGTTTTATCGTGACTATGGGCTCTTTGAAATTCGTCTTCGTTGGTTTTCTCGATCTCTCTGTCTCGCACCAAATCGATAAGGTCCTTCATAGAACCTTGCTTCACCCAGTTCCGATGGGCTAGGACTCTTACTCTTCCATCGGTAGCACCTTTTGTGATAACTCTCACAACGGCTTCCATTTCGTCATCTGTTCCGTAATTGTATAATTTTGCTGCAGACGCCACACGCCTCACAAATTCAACACTGCTTTCCACACTCGTTTGGCTCATCATCATCAGTTTTCCCCGCTGGGAAAGGGTGTAAGTTCTCGATCCATAATATGCATTCAGTCGAGCCATTGCATTCGAAAATGGTTCTGATTTCTCATCAGGCATTCCTGGTGTAGTGGTGGTTGTGTTGAATATTTCACGAAGCTTTGGGCCAGCCTTAATCTTGAATACTCCGAACATTGTTTGTTCATCAACAGCATTGATTAGTTTCAGAGATGAAATCAAGATGTCCTTCCAATATTCGTATGCTCGCTTGTCAACTTCCATTTCTCCCTCTGAAGGGACACACTCCGGGATGTTGAGTGTGCCTAATGTCCAGTTGTTCATTGTTGATAGTAGTAACGTGTCGTCACGTATTGTGCTGGAGCAAGCCTGGGGAAATCCATTGCTAAGACCTTGATCTGATCCCGCTGTCAGATTGGCCATCTGTTCACGATAAGAGTTGTTCTTCTCAAGAGCTTCTTTTAGCTCTTTCATGATTTGTTTCTTGGAAGACTTCCTAAACAACACAAGAGAAAACACATTTCTTAGTTAGTTATGCAGGTTTTTTTTTTTTTTTTTTTTTATGCTCTGTCTTTATCTACAGAGACATAACATCATTTGAGCTTCGTCTATATCCACCGAAGCTCATGAAACACTTAAATTTGTTTAAGATTGCTCTAGCAGTACTTCGCCTATTTCCATCGAAGTCTGTTCTGTTTTCTAGATCAAATGCTTTTTTTTTTTTTTTTTTTTATACTTACTTTACGGGAGCTGCTGTTCCATCCAAAGCTGCGCCATTGTCGTTTCCGGGCACGCTTTCAATTTGCCAGTCGACAATCTCGGCCACGACTGCTGATACGCTGGATCCTGTCCACACCGTCTCGGAGTGCAACTTGAATTCGATGTGAAAATTCAAAACCAACTGTTAGCCTTGAAAAAGGCTGTTTGTTGAACACGCTGGATCGTTACGCGGTACTACTCGCGGTTACTGCTGCTGCTGGAAGGCCTCCTCTCGCTGATTCGATGCGCGACACTGCTCGCGGTTACTGCTGGAAGGCGCTCTCTCGCAACCGATGGTTCACCGCTCCGTTTCACGGCAACGGGTCGTGGTCTTGCTGCCGTTTGCTCTCTCTCTCTCTCTGTTCGATGCGCGACACTACTCGCGGTTATTGCTGCTGCTGGAAGGCGTCCTCTCGCTGATTTGATGCGCGGCACTGCTCGCGGTTATTGCTGCTATTGGATGCTACTCTATTCACATCAGTTGTATGAATGCCTAATGCGCACGGGTCGCGCTTTTATATGATACGTGTGCCCGCGGTTTTTCGTTCCCCCGCGTTATAGGCGATCCTCATTGGTTGACTAGTAACCGTTTTTCTATTACATCTAGTTATCCATGAGAAATGTTCGCGAGTCATAATGACTTTTTGCAAACTTGTCTATCGCTGGGTATCATTTATTTACTATTTTTTTTTTCTCTCAATAATGAAGGGTTAGTTTATTTGTTTTTTCTTTATTTTAAATCATTTATTTTATTTTATTTTTAACTCAACTCTATCTACTACACCCCATTCCTAAAATATTTGTATTGATGAGTATTTGACAGTATTTCCCACTTAATCTGAAATCGGAAGCCGCCATCTTGGATTTCTAAATGGCGTCGCATATCAATTTTCGATCGGTAGACTGCATACCGATTAAAAAAATACGATTATTGATGTGCATTTGACTGTATTTCCACTTTTTCGGTAATCGCAAGCCGCCATCTTCGCTTTCAAAATGGCTTCGGATATCGATTTTCATCCTCTAGACATCATCCAGATTGCAAAAATACCTTTATTGATAAGTATTTGATAGCATTTTTCACTTTTTCTTAAACTGGAAGCCACCATCTTGGATTTAAAAATGGCTTCGCATACCAATTTTTGATCTCTAAACGTCACCCCGATTCAAATGTTGCGATGCATATTCCGTCATTTCATGTTTTTTGGTGGCTAATATTTTTGCTCGGTGATAATTTTATCCATCCGAAACAGGCTTCCAGACGTTTCACCTTCACCAAAATCAAAGCGACTATTTTCTGGTCCAACAATTGAAAAGGACCTATCAGTATCGTAAACAAGTCTTTGTAAGTCCTTTCTTCGCCAAGCTTAGGCCACCCACGCAAACTAACAGCATCATCATGTAGGAGAAAATTTTTGGTTTGCGTGAGTGGCCTACGATTTGCGAGGAAAGGAGTTACAATGTTTTGTTTACAAAAACTGATAGTCCCTTTTCCATTGTTGGACCAGCTTTGCCAGCAAGCTGAATACAGGCGCACATAGACGTTTCCCTTATGCATTTTCGTGTGCAGCTTTGATCAGATGACCGCATGTAGATTGTAATTTCTACACCTCTTTAGTATTGATTACAAAAAATCAGCATTCAGAGGTGGTTACTCATGGAGGCCTATGACAGGCCTGGTTCACTAAATAGCAGTCAAATATTATTATTTCATGTGTTTTTCACGAGCTCTTTTGGTAATATATAAATCAAAGCTTTTAAAATTCAATTTCACAGTGTGGCTATTTCCACGGATGATCCGTGATGGGTCCGTATCTTGTATGTAAGTTTTGTTGAACACACAATTTAAAAACTTAATTTATTTCGAGCTCCGTTCAAACATTATTGCATTCCATTCATCGTTCAGTCATCGACTGTTCCTGCAATCGATGAACTCTAAAATTTTCAAATTGTTCACCAGTTTCGCAGTAAAGAAAACATCTCGAAAGTGAACCCTACACGATTGCTTTTATTGTCGCAGTGATAAAGACGAAAACCAAAGCGATTCCACTCTTAACTAGGCTCCATGCAAAGACTTATTTCGTCACATATTTTAGCTTTCCTAGCAAGGGTTTTACCTGAAATCAAATGGTAAAGTATTGTCTTATTGATTCATTGAAAAAGTACATAAACCTACTTCAACACCAGGAATGTGAAACGCAAAAGGATCAAAAGTTTGACAGATCATGAAGTTAACTGACCATCCAGCAACATTTTTAGGATAGCTATTTGTTCAGTAAAAAGTGATTTTGCACTGTGAAGAAGTTAAGCAATCCATTTAGCGGGAACTCGATTTCAATTTTTGGCGTGTGGACCTTCAAATCTGCCTCAATTCCAACCTAAAACCGAAAATTAATAGATTAAAAAGCTCCTCGTCAACACGTTCAGTAGCGAAAGTAACGTCTTTCCGCCAATTCTTCTTGTGCCCCAAACCAAAACAACAAGCAAAACTGGTGGCGGCCTCTGATAAAATCCGTAAGCGTTTGCCATTTTCTAAAGTTGGCAGTACCGAACCTATCCTATACTGGTTTGACGTTTCTCTTCTCCACCGTCCGTCTCACTCATTCCGTCGGCGAACGCATAAGAGACGGCACGAAAACAATCCCAGTCGTGCGGAGAGTGCCGCGATGTGAAAAAAAAACATCGCACGAACATGGGCGGCGGTGTGCGAAGGAGGATGACACTTTTTCATAAACATGCTCCGCCAATGCATGGTGGCAAGTGGCGACGAGGGTACTTCCCACACGCACGTTTGACAACTCTCCACTGTGAAATATCGAATCAGTCTTGTTCGGTACGTCTATTCTGTCGCATCTTGTGCATTACGGCGGTGTAACGGTGAAGTGTTGTAGCGCAGACGGTGTTTTTCCTCTTTCATCTAAAGTTTTTTTTTGTGTGTGCGTCGGCAGTGAATCGGAAGCGTGAACCTTGTTTTAGTAGGATTAATTAAGATGGATTGTCATGTTTTCGGGTGGCATAATTAGATTTGAAGTGAGGAAAATGTGAGCAGCGAATCGATTGCGGTGGAAAATGAAGCGCGACTGGCTTCTGTGACGTGGTGTAAGAAGCGCTACGGAATGTTTGGAATTTCGCTGGAGGAGGAGATATGGTGATGAAGAAGAGCTGGGCTAGCCCCAGGATGTTCCCGATGTGATGTGGATCAGTGAGATGTGGTAGAGCAGGTTTTAGGAGGGTGGATCCCAGTGAAATGAGCTAAGAGAAAGTCTCAAATTGCCAATAATAGAACGACAGCTTCTAGTGCGACTGAATGTAAATAATGTAAATGTCAAAATATGACATGATTGGTTCTGCAGTGATTCTCCGGAGCAGAGCGGACGTGTTTTTCGGTGCGAGTGCATTGTTTGTTATGAAGCCGCGACTGCTGCGTCTGCGAGCGGAAATCAACGGGATGTTATTCTAACAGATTTATTGTTAAGATGTTTACCTGCAACGGAATGTAAACAATGCCCAAGATGAGATCTACCTCCCATTGAGGAAAGCAGTAGCGTGAATGGGTGTAGAAAGAGGGATGGATTAAAAATCGATACTGGTGTGTTGTGTACTAAACAAAAATACCACGGCCAATAGATGCGCGGTTGTTTTTCGGCGGATGAGCTGAATTATTCATGTGTGAAGGGGAATAGTTTGAAGTTAGTGCAGTTTTCGTGGGCTGAGGATAACCGGGGGAAAAATGTTATCTAGTGTCAATACGCATTCCGGAAGGCGGATAATCTCTACGTGATATCTGTGCTTGAGGCTAGCAGTGAAGTTGCTTCATTATGATATCAGAATAAATGTTTGTATTGAAAATAAAAAAAAGAATACCGTAAAAGCAGTGAAACAGGTGAATAATAAGAGGAAGATCGCTAGGAGAGTGCTTCGTGTTCATTCAGCTGTAAATACGCATCGGAATCACCGGAAAATGCCCGGGTCGCCATTTGTCCCAGTGCACCGAAACACAGAAATAAATTATTCAATGTATAACAATTAATCTCCGGAGCTGCAGCAGTGCCCGTGAATATTTGAGCACCTACACAGAAAAGCCCCCGCCAATTCCATCATCCAAAATGCAAGCAAAAAAGCGCTACATTCTGGTGATAATCTGCTGTGCGTTTCTCGCATACTGCTACTTTGGCGGCTACCGGCTCAAATGGCTCCAGAAACTGTTCGCCATAAGCGTTCGAAAAAACCCCTCCAAGCTCCCGCCATATCAACAGTTGTACTATCAATTCTCAGACTTTCCAGAATCACCCGTCCGAAGTTCACACCTCTCCTCGATCCCCGATGATGACCTGTTTGCCCATCCCGCCTTCGAGTCGAAATACATTGGTGACTCGCTCCCATCCCACAGCCGGTCCTGTCGAATGGAAACCTGTTTCGACTTCACCAAATGCTCCGACCAGAACTTCCTAGTCTACGTCTATCCACCGGAGCCTCTCAATTCCCTGGGAGCTCCCCCGCCCATCAGTCCAAACTATCAGAAAATAATCTCAGCCATCCAGGAGAGCCGGTACTACACGGTAGATCCAGAGAAAGCCTGCCTATTCGTGCTGGGCATCGATACTCTGGATCGAGACTCGCTAAGCGAAGACTACGTACGGAACGTTCCGTCTCGGTTGCAGCGGCTTCCCTACTGGAACAATGGCCGCAATCATATCATCTTCAATCTGTACTCCGGAACGTGGCCGGACTACAACGAAAATGGGCTCGGATTCGATTCGGGACAGGCCATTCTGGCCAAGGCCAGCATGAGCGTGCAATCGCTGCGGCCGAATTTCGACGTGAGCATACCGTTGTTTCACAAGCAATTTCCGCTGCGTGGTGGTAACACAGGATTCGTTGCGAGCAACAACTTTCCGGCGAACAAGAAGTATCTGCTGGCGTTCAAGGGGAAAAGGTAGGTGATTTTAGAGTTCTGCTTTGATGATTAGGGTTGTTTGTAAATACTTTTATTCGGGAATTTCATGGAGAACACGAACAAATTTTGTATCAGTGTGAAAACATCGCATGTGGGCGAGGTTTTCAGTAGAGACGAACTTTTCAAAAGGTCCAATCTATATGGATTAAATCATTTAATAGAATTTCTCTTCTGAAATCCATGGCCTTTCAAACACATTTGCAACTACTTCTGCCACGTACGTAATATTATGAAAAAGGTATTTCTGTCATCATTCGCCAGTTGGGACCAGAGATGTCAGATTTGCAGACATGTCTGTGAACGTGCAGACTTTTTATTTTTGTTGCAGACATTTTTCACGAACCAAACATTTACCAGAATTTTTATTTTTGCAGTAGACATTTACAGAATTCACAGATCATAGATCTAGTCTCACATAAGCTTATATTATCAATACGGATGATTTATACTTCAATCATAGTTTATATTTACCAATTTAATGTCTGATATTCGTCAAATCAAGAACAACATGTGAAAAGGGCATACAAGCTTTTTGTAAACAAACCTTCCCTTTCCCTTTTCTCGCCACCCATATCAGGCTTAACATTTGATAACGGCACAAAAGCATTTGTAAACAAACTTTCTAAGGCCCTTTACACGCGAACCAAAGTACGCCCACGCAAACCAATACCACTTTCGGAAAGGTGATAGTTGCCCTATCCGATGATGTAACACAAATTTGTCGAATTAGCGGAACGATACTGTATCTCATTGATTTCACTACAAATCAGATTTAAATAATCTACTAAATCAGATTTAAATAATCTACTAGCCTAGTGGCGGAAAAAGAAGTTTTTTTTTTACTTTTCGTCTCTTTTTGGCTGCACATCCATCTCATCCTGACGTTTACTAATTGGCGTTAATGTCCAAAAATCATCTCTTCTAGCAAAGATTGTCAGATTCTTATGGACATTTTCAGTGAAGTGAAAGGATAGTACAAAGTCCGCCATATTTCACGCATAGACTGACGTTTTCATTTTGGGATTTTACCATAGGTGTAAAGAGCTACAGAGCAACGTGAATTACAACCAATATTAATGATTGTTTTAATAGATGACCGGAATTGACATATTTCAAACTTTGTCGAGTTTCAGAAGCGGAAGTTACTTCACAGTTAAAATAACGTTTAAAATCTCATCGCCTGTTCTATAATTGTCTACGGACCCCACTCAGACAGTTTTCGCTCATGTCAGGACTTAGTTTTCAAGGTTTATTTGAATCTGCCAGTTTGGTTTTGGGCAAGCTTTTTTTTTTGTTCATTAATTTATTTGATAAGGCTCAACCGAATCAACTTTCCAGAGCCAAAGATTCTTGGTCACTATACAATACATCTTAAAACTATAGTCAAAAGGTACAACACAATAAAAACTTTATCTTCCGCTATCCAAAAAGCCTCCTCCATCAGAACTTGAGCCGCTTCCAGTGGTTTCATTGTATGGCAGTTACGCCATCGTGGGGCAAAGCGCTTCCATTGCAGCAATGGACGCAAAACGTGGTAAACACTCACACACTCAACACGAAACGGTTGCTTTCCAAAGTCGACGACGCATCGACCGAAAGAACTGTTGATGAAGAACAATGAGGAGGACCACACAATGGTTGCTGCCGAGTAAGCAGACGATCGCGTGGTACACATCGAGAGTGCTTTTGTCGACAGTCGAGTGAACACTGGCAAGCTTTTTTGCATTTGTATCTTTCTGATATGTTTAAACAGGAGTAATTTTTTCCATCGAAACGAAAAGTAGACTTAAATTGCTACTATATTTACAGAATTTATTGAAACATTTAAAGGGATTAGATGTGCCACAATATTATGTCTTATGTTTTCAGGTACTTTAAAAACATCGGTTCTCCTTCTCCTTTCTCCGTTTTGTAGTTAGCGTAGAATCCCAAGTAACAATTTAACAGCCTTCACTCTGATTTTTTTGTGGTTTTAAAACAGCAATAAGCAATCTTTTGAGTTTAAATACAGCTTTTAAAGTGCAAAACATTCTAGATTTGTAGTTTAGCTTTATGCTGTTTTAAAAACCTTTGTACGGAATTTTTTTTACGAGAAAATCAGAAATTGTCTGGTTTAAAAAAAAATAATTTAATGCAGCACTCTATCCCTTTATAAAACTGTTCAGTAAATCATTCGGTATTTGTCTTATTGCTGTCACGACAAAATACTTCATAAAGGTGTTTTAGCATTATAAATGTAATTATAATCCCGTTCGGGTTCAGACGGGATCAAAAAGCATATATTAATGCGCTTTGGTGCCAATGAAGTGTATCACAAAACCTCCCACTGTTTACAAATAGAGTTAACTACCCCATTTCCAGCCTATTAAGCACAACCCGCACTTACTCTTTCTTAATCTAGCGCAGTCTCCAAACGGAATGTTATTATTACTGATGTCTTCCAAATTTATTTACCTTTCCTTACGTACCGTAAGATTTGATAAAGAGAAACCAATCGTTGAGATATTGTCAAAAGTCTAACACTGCTTCTTGACGCCAAACTCGGCCTACGGATTCTAAACTTGGCCTAATGCATTGAAACGTAATTGAAACGCCATTGAATTCACTTCGGCCTATCGGATGAAGATAAAAATTAATTCAGTCGGAGCGCTTCTTTTGCTTTTGGGAATAATGGGTGCAAACCTTCACGCGTTCTAATTGATTTCGCTTGGTAGCTTATTAACTAAAGTATCGTACCAAACGCTTAATTGTCTTGTTAAGTCTGAAATCATGGATTTATTTGAAGTTTTCTGCTCGATAGGCCTAAAATGGGCGATTAGACCGAAGTAGTTCTCTACCCTACACTGGAGTCGCTTTTACCCGTTTTTTTACACCGTTTTTTTACGCGGATTTCGGAATTTACGCGGTTTTTTACGCGGATTTTGGATTTTTTTACGCGGATTTCAGAATTTACGTGGTTTATCGTTATACACTGGCGTCGCTTTTTACGTGGTTTTTTTGCACGGTTTTTTTTACGTGGTTGTTTTAAGCGGATTTTGAAATTTACGCGGATTTTGGAATTTACGCGGCTTTTTTACGCGATTTTTTTTACGTGGGACGTATCACCCGCGTAAAAAGCGACTCCAGTGTAAAACTAAAAAGATGGATCCGCCTAGAGACAGTGAAAAACATAATCGAGTGGGACTTTCAAACGCAGAATCGCAAGGAAATGCCAAAGGATAATCGTGAAATAATTCTAGCAAAATCGGTCAACAACAAGCAGCCGACAGAGAGGAGCGAAATTAATGTAGTTTACGAAATACTTGAAGTTAGACGCTTAAAGTTGATGGGAATACACAGCATATTGTCAATGGCAGCCTTCTCCAGAAATAACGTTGCGATGATGATCCGAATTGCATCAGTGCCAAACTAGGACTGCAGAAAACTGCTGACAGGAAACTTCAGAAGCTGTCCGTCAGCAGGAAATTGACTGTCTTCCGAATCATTCACGGAAAGGGTTAACTGTTCCAAAAATTCCAAGCAAGCGCACAGAAACTTCATCACATCATCCGGAAGACGGAAAACTTTTCGGGAACGATTGAGCTTCGCACTGTTCCAAGTTACGAATGTAGATACACTTCCTGAGTAACTGCTTCCAATAGATGAATTGCCCTTATCAAGGATGTCACGCAACTTGTTGATCCAACGCTGGAGTAGAACATCGTTGCAATGATCGCACAACGAAATTATCGAAAGATAAACAAATTTTGATGTTTAACTTTTTCCAGGCAACTTTTCCACCATTATTGTGATGTGATTAGAACCCACCATCAGTGCAAGGATTACCTATGACTGCAGATACTTCACTGAATCAACTTCATTGAAGACCTTTGGAAGACAAACGACAAGATGTACGTCTATCAACACGTGACAAGGGACTGGCAAATCCACGAACCCTTGTCCAGTCTACAAATTCTTTGAAACCCTGAAACTACGAAACTCTGAGGATCGAACGGAAGGAGAAATGCAGTCTGAATGGATATTCTATTAGTGATCAGGATCACAAGCGTGTCGTGAAAGCGTTTAAGCGGGATCCCAATGCTTCGGTCAGGGATGTGGCCAAAAAGTTGAATCTGCCCAAGTCTTTCGTTCAGAGAGCCAAGGACCGGGAGGGACTGCATACGTACAAAGTGCAGAAGGCTCCAAATCGTGACGAACGGCAAAATACGGTGGGAATGTCACAGGCCCGGAAACTTTACACCCAGATGCTGACGAAACCTCATTGTCTCATCGTGGATGATGGACCTTACGTCAAGGTGGACTTTCGGCAGCTTCCGGGGCTACTGTTCTTCACCGCCCAGCACAAGTTTGATGTTTCGGATGATATGGGACACCCTTTAGTAATTCATAACACGTTAAATGTTACTGTTTGGAATCCAGATCCCCTGTCAACTACAACCCTGGCATCCATCTATTGCAGCTGAGCAGTACAATAGCCTGTCCGTGCAACCGCCGGGCGGATTTGTTTACGTTTGGGCTATTGTCTACAGTCTAGACCGTACAATATATACCATTCAATGATGGGGATAAGGAATCGAGGTTTAGGTATATAAAAATTCATCTCTTCTCTGGTAGCTTAGGTCAGTAGGTACCACATAGCAGCTAAAGTGATCTAATGAGAGTATGAAGAGAGGATGATAACGTCCGATCAGTGTGTCGACCTGGCTTGCCAGACCACCGACCGGCAATATCCGTGACGTCACCTCTCTCGCAATAGATCAGCTTCTCTGGATCTATTGCGCTGCTCTTGATAGAAAGGGAAAGTTTTTAGCTACGAACAGGTCATCGGACAGACCACCGGTCATTTCATACGTTTGCGGTAACCGCAGAAGATTCGTGTTCTTTTTGTATAATCGTGTAGTCTAATTTGATAAGGCAAATAAATGTAGTGTTTTGACTAAGTGTTTCCATCAAACGAAGAGTTTTATTATGATGCAAAA